ACCTCTATTCCACTGGAGTACCATGTTGCAAAACTGTTCTGAAGGTCACAGAGAAAGCCTGGATTTTAAAGCCCAGCTATCTACATATTCAAAGAATATTGAAGACACTGAATCTTGAAGTGAGATCCCCCCTCAGCTTCAAAAAAAAAAAAAAAAAAAAAAATAAAAAAAATCTGATAGCCACCTGAATCTACAGCTGCTTTATCCCAAATGAAATTGGACTCCACTCAAACACCTGCTTTGCAACCCCAATCTTTTTATGGTGCTGTATCTGGGATGCTCAGCTTTTATTTTGGATAGCTGCATTCTCTAAAGTGAATACACCGTTGAATATCAGAAGCCAAACAGTAACATTTACAGAATGCATGCTAAAAACCCCAAATATTCATCTTGTATCACCTTCAGAGATGTTAATCTGGTTAATGAACTTAGTTCACGCTTACCTTCACTCTGCTACAGGTATGAGTGGTATCAACTATCAACATGATCAAAAAGCCCAGCATGGGCAGCCTTTATCAGCCCTTGGTGCTTATCAGCCAATGGCCCAGAGGTCACATGGACCATATAGCTCACAATGATTCTCCAATTGGGGAACACAGGGGGATTCATATTTTCATCCTGTGCCCGCATACCCTACTATAACTACATCAGTTAGAACAGCTACCATTTTTTCACCATTCCTGCACTCAGAGACTGCCCCATCCCTGAAAGTGTTCAAGGCCAGGTTGGATGGGGCTTTGAGCAACCTGGTCTAGTGGAAGGTGTCCCTGCCCATGGCAGGGGGGTTGGAACTAGATGACCTTTAAAGGTCCCTTCCAACCCAAACCATTCTATGGTTCTACAAAAGCTTCAGATATACCATCACCAGTTACATTAGCCAAGTCCTTCAGAGCTCAAGCTCTTCAGAGTGCGGGATGAAGGCACACACGCCCCACAGGTGCATCTAAGGAGTTATATGCCTTGCAGTCATATAGGCCAGTAGATAACACAGAACAATGATAGCATGAACGGATAACTGAAGTGTGCCCTTTTGTTGCAAGCTTGAGATAGAACATGGATTCGATCACCTCGACGCACATTGGCAACCCCTGAAGGACAGAACAGATGTTAATATGCTCGGTGCTCCTCAGGTTGTAACTACCTTTCCCCCAACTCCAAAGGGGAAGGCTGGCTTTTCAGTCACCTACCTGTCGCTTTGTGTCAAGTGTTCCATATCAAGTGTTCTGAAGTCAGATGTTGAGCAAGAGATTATTACTGCTTGAAGATCCCGCTGCCGAGTGTAGGGCTTACCTGAGTGCATGAAACGCAGAAATTATTGCAGAACTTCCTTATGCACGTGTGGTTTTGGAGTCACTAATCCCCATTATCACCATATACCATATATGTATGTACGCCCATATGCATATGCACACATACAGAAGCATTCCCAACCCTGGGGAACTCTATCCTCTCAGCCACGCTATAGATTTACCTGAAGAGAAACATCATTTCTGTTCCAGATACACACATACCGTGGAACGAAGTCACATGCAGTGGTTGGGCATCCACTGCAAAGATACCAAACCAAACTTGGTGTAGGTGTAACCGAAGTAAACGCTACTTCTTCTAATGCTTTGTTTCTAAAAGCAGATTTCAATACCTGTATTTCTTTCGATGTTGTTACTACCATCCCCACTTTGCATTGTGTAGCTACAGTTTCCATTTTAATAAGTCTCTGCTGAAAATCATTTTGCTCTCTCCCATGGTAATGAAACACAGTGAGTCTGAACAGATGAGGTACAACTCACCCTTACACTGAAGTACCAAATCGGTATCATGTCTGCCCAGGCTTTCAGTAACAGTGCCTGTGTGTGCACGCATATGCCTTCTATTTTAACATTTTAAAGATTATGCTAAAATATTTCACATCCCCAGAAATGTGCTTGCCACACCTATGAGAAAGAAACAGTAATGGCCACTGGGCATAATCACACAGCATAATTACATAAATAAGAGTACTTTTGTAATGTAAAAGTCTAGGGGATTTTTTTCAAATCAGAGTTTAAACTGAAGTAGTGTCTGTTCTATACAAATGTTAAAGCTTCCACTTTTTTGTAACAGTGAAGATTTGGGTGCTTCATTAAAATTTTGAAACTCACACTGTGTATAGGTGTACACTGCAGACACTATGGGAATATAGCTCCAGGCTTCTCTAACCACCACAAAAAGGAAGCAACAATTAGTGTATTAACAACTGTTTTTGAATAGAATATAAAAATTACCTACACCAGCTTCTCAAGTTCACAGAAAGCAAGCCAATCAAAAAATGAAGTGCAGTAGAAGAAATTCACGTACCTGTGAAAAGTTCAAACTGTAATTATATAATATGTAATTATCACGAAGATGTACTTACAGATAAAACACACTTCTAATGCTAAACGTTTATTCTAGTGACTACAGAGGTACTTGTGATAGTGTTTGTCTGAAGTGTTTCACATTTCTCAGAATCCCTGCCACATATTTTGAAAATACTCATTCTCTTCTCTGGGAGGAAGTCAGAGGGTCGGACAAATGTTCTAATAACTAGCCTTCCATATTTAATTATTTTTTCAAATAGTAACATAATTCCTTTTAAATTTTTGTAAAAACTGGTTTTTTTAAGAAACAAGCTTGAAATATAATGCATGCAGGAAAATGGCACACAACATGCTGAATAAACCTGTTTCAGAAATAGTTAGTAGGCTTACTGTGGCTTGTGATGCTACCTGGACATACTACATACAAAGGGGACTTTTAGCACCCACTGATGTGACTTGTCACCTGTACACAAAACCTGCGTCGTGACTAAAAGTGCTTTTTGCAACCAGTAGCAGTGATTCTCCTATCTTGTTCTGCATTACAATGAGTAGTCTTTATATTTTAATGACAAACCTCTGAATTTTTTTCCCTTAAGATTCTAAAGCCAGATTCCAGTATGTTTAAAAAAATCTCCTCTTTGGACTGCCCAATGAGCTATCATGTTCTAATATTGCATCTAATCATATAATATGCAAGACACTATCTGATGAGTAGATTTACTAACGTTGACTACCTCTCCCCTTAACATTGAACTATTGCAATAATCTTTATGTATATAAATAACCATGCATATACATTCCCGTCGGATGGAGGCCATCACACCGACTACGCAGAGTACGTGTCTCGAGGATATGAGGGAAACGTCCGCAAGAGATACCCACTGACAGATCACTGCAGTGTATTAGGGGAAAAACGCAAATTTTTCTTAGACTTGAGTTTAGTACTGAACCAAAAACTAAAAAAAAAAAAAACAAACAAAACCTCCACACCAAAAAAACCAACCCCAACAAAACACCACACCAAACCAACCAAAACCAAACAAAAATTCTCAAGAGAAGAAAAATGGACAAAGACTTGTTCCTAAAATAGATCGCATCCATTGAATCAGAGCAATCCTTCTATCATTAAGGTGTCACTCAAAATGAAGAACAAAGTAATTGCTTCAATGTTCTACTTTAAAACCCCATTCCTAAAACTATGCATTGGTAAATTACAGGCAAAATATATATAGACATACATATTCAAGATCAACTCCTTTTTAAAATGTTAATTTTGCTCATTTCTGTAATGGCTTTCTATATAATTTTCTTGATGTGAATCCAGATCAGAAGAAACTATAGATCAAGCCAGAAGCGACCAGTAAGATGGAGAGACCAAAAGCAGTTCTTATCTGACTGTACAGGCAATTACATAGTGTCACCTTTAAGGTGACAGCAACGCCCCAAGCAGCTACATTCATCATTAAGCTTCCAATTCACATGCTCTTTAAAGGAAAACAATTTTATGTCATTTTCCTCACCCATTCCTGCACACCAAGAATCTTTACCTACCCCTTGTAGAAAATATCCTAGAAAGGACAGACAATAGTACGCACCAACTGAAAGCACTTTAACCGTAAGAACACTGACAGAGTAGGTGTGAAAATATTAAATGGGCAAGAGATGAAAATGCAAACAATTTATGCAAAAATTAATGAGTAATTTCTGCTAGTTTAGATCTCTTATATGACCTTAAGGCACTTACATTTATTAATAAAGCTTTGCAATTACCTCCACTGTAATTCTATACTCATGCCCTGCACTGATTGACAGATATGGAAATTCTGAAAGAGATCGGCTCTGTTAAAGATTCGAACTATTAAAAAAAGTCTTCCCAGTTCTCACTTGTGTCTTTCACTCTGCCTCTAAGTAAGCTAGCCAGACAGGCTGGCTACTCCGAAAGAAAAATCAAACAAATTACCTGAGTCAATCAGAAACCTATTGGCTCTTTTGTTATCATCGTTGTTGCTCTGTTATTGTTGTGTTTGGGGTTTTTTTTAAAGAAAAATTAAAGTATACATCTACTGCTTTCCTATTGGCTGAAATGTACAATACAGCTGGTTTTAGTCAGAGTAGTGAATATAATACATGCTTTCCTACTCCTATTTCTTTGTGATTACATAGGTTCCCCGAGACAATTTCAGCAGAATTCAGAACCTTCCCCCACCCACCCCATTCTCTAATAAAGCAGCAGCAGAAGAAATAGGAAGGGAAGCAACCAAATCTCCACAAAACATCAGTAGTGCGTAAGTAATGGACTGCCTTGTTTACAATGGAACATCCGGTTATTTATAATATGGTTATTTAGAACATACCATAATCAATGATTTTAGAAAATGACTGTATCCAAATGCAGCTACATCATGCTTACTGGTTGCCTAGCAATTAATTTAACCCCAAATCTGGGGTCAGAGCCTTGTGCTAGCTGTGATAAAGCAGTACCTTTTAAGAAAAAAAAACCCACACCTTAGTTTTATTTTTCATATTTACATATACAGAAGTTTTTGCATTAAAAAATTTGAAAACCAAACCATCTGTACATATAATACAGCAATTAAAGTTTCCATGAATAAAATCTTAAATTTGCAAGTTTATTTGAAAATCATTATATTAAATAAAGCAGCATTAAAATCCAACAAACGGGAATGAGCATGAAGAGGAAAATAATGACCACGTAACATTTGTATTCTGCCCTTCCCATGTATCTTTTATGCTAGTTGAACCTTTGTTCTCAGTGTAACCTAAAAAACCTCCAGATTCTGAGTTTATTTCACTTTCTGAAATAATTCCAGTAGGGAATGCACTGGTGAGCTACACGATCTTCTCTTCAGGAACAGACAGTCCATCCGTATACTTTACGCATAACTCCATATTCTGTTTCCAGGTTTCTTTTATTTCTTCCCAAGTAAAGCTTCACTTTTCTGCGCAGCTTTCCAGACGGTGAACTATGTGCAGTGCTGGCAGCCAATTCATTAAGTTCTTTGTTTATAGCAGTATCAGATACCCCAGCCTCCAGAACTACATTGTGCTGCATCTGTTGATGATTATCACACAAATCATGATGTTTCTTGACAAATGTAGGATTGGCATCTGTTTTTTTCAAACACTTTGCTGGTAGAACTACTGCATTATTTAATTTTCGTTTTGGCTGTGATAGGTTTTTGTCTTTTTCACTAAAATCTGTAACTTGAGTATGAGAATATAAAGTATACATGCCTTCCTGAAAACACTGTATATCCTTTTTATTTACTTCTGGTTCCAGTATTTCTTTACTGAATGGCTCATAAACTCGAGACAAGTTCTCCGTGCCTGCTTTGTCATCTTTCTGAGGGGGTGGTTGTATGAAATTTGATGATACAACAGTCTCTCTTAAGTTTGCAGCACAGGAGCAATCAGTTTTGATATTTTCATCATTATTTCTGATCTTACCTTTTAGTTCTGAAGGTTGTGACAGGTGACAATACAGAACTGAACAGACAGATCCAGAAATAGGGGTAGGTATTGGCACAGAATTTGGCTGTACTTCTGCAGGCTGGTGATCCAGTTTGAGTGTCCGCATTGCCGTATCCTTCCATGAGTAACTTCTCAATGAAATGCGTTGCTTTTTCAGTTTTTCTTTCAGCTCATCTGGTCTAGTTATCTTTCCAGTAATAGGAGAAAAATATCCTGTACTACATTTTGTCCTATAATGAAATTTTTTAAAATTATTAACACACACTTGAAAGAAACGTGGGTAACATAACTCCATATGCAACTGCTTTTAGAAAAGCAACTGAACTGACAAAGTAATTTTTGTTTCTACGTTAAAAGGAAGGATATTTAGGGTAGCAACACACTATTTCTACAGGAACAGAGTGCCTTATATTTGAATTTGATGTTTTCTTATTGATTTCTACAGCTCATAAAATTGTTTCAAAAATACACAAAGTAAGCAGTCTAGTATTTCAGTAAATCTAAATTCACAGTGGTATTAAGAACAAAAGAAGCTAATGAATGTAACGCAATGACTATAAATACTTACAAATATTCTATGCTACATACACACAAAATTAGCATAATTATATAGGCTTTTCTTGACATAGTATTTCAAACCTAACCACTCAGTATTTTTAAATCACAAAAGGAATAAAGGCTTGCCTTCATTAGGATATCAGTTGTTTGACTCTATTTGCATTTCTTTGATTTCACTAAGAATATCTTTACTTCTTCAATACTTTTTTTTTTTTTTTAAAAGAAATGAGAAAGTTATTCCTTATCTCCTGACTCATTTGCAAACAAATCAGAGCAATCTTGAATGAGTTACCGTTCCAAGTAATGAAGACACTGGTGCCTACAGTCCAAGACATGAAACAAGTCCTTCTCTCCCATTTAAGCTTTTGAGCTACGAAGAAGAAAGGAAAATCTGCTTTTTTTGTCCAGCACAGGCAGGACAGAAGCTAAGAGGCTTAGAGTAGAGATAGGAAGATACAGATTAGACTAGGAAAAGTTTTTCCACTGGTAAGGATATCAGATTGTCTGAGGAGGGTATCACAGGCTACTAAAAATATCAGAAAGTTTTTAGAGCAAAATGTCCAGACATTGCTGTCCTTCTGTCAGTAATATTTTAGTACAGTAGATCTTGCTTTTCTGAAGTTCAAGGATAGGTAGGACAACTTTTGGCAATTCCTTTCCATCTCGTTTTCCTGTGATGCCATCTGCACTTTTAATTTTTTTATTTGGGTTCCTGCCCCACCCCCAATTCCTGCTTTATAGAACTGATTTGCCAGGTGAAACTGCACTGCAAATTTCAGTGATTTATTTCAGACTGGAAAATACAAATTTATTCTGTACCAGATCCAGAATTTCAGAACTAAGTATCTTTATGTTCAATGCCTTAACTCACAGAAACTTTAAAATTTAGGTAAAAAGGTGACTTACCTTTTTATGTTTTTTACATCATCTTTGTATTCAACAAACTCATAAACCAACTTTGAGATTATATCATCAACAACTTGATATTGTGTGCTTTGTGCAAAATTTCGGTGCTGTTCACTTTCAAGATGCTGGAATTAAAGAAAAAATATGAAACAAATATCATACTACAGACATGAATATACAAGTCAACAGTATGATATGGAGCAGTAAGTAAGTATCATTAATTTATTACCAATGTCTCTGAGACATGAACTATTAGTTCCTTCAGCTACCATAGAGGCAGCAATCAATAATTAAAACCTACATGGGAAAAAAAATACCCGCTTGCTGCTTTTTAGGAGATATATACAGAAATCTTTTAAGACAAAAAAATACATTGAACTGGCAAGTAGAAACCATTGTTGATACCACACTTAAGAGATATGACTGTATCAAAGCATATACTTGACATTTCACATACTGTTTGTAGATCTTCGTATTTCTTCCCACAACATTCACAATATCCTCTCTTTTTTTTGTCCTTCTGAGGGAGCTGAACAGGAGGAGTTCCACAGTCCTTGTCACTATTTATTTTGTTTCTGTTAACAGAAAAGACATATTAATGAATCTCAAATATGGAGCTGAGCTCTATACTTGCCTCTCACAGCATGTTCACTCTTTTTCCCTTAATTTGAAGAAAAAGATCTCTTTATTTCCCCCCAAACTATTTATATTATGTTAGTCAATGCTTAGGAAAAACAAAGAGAAAAATTATGCATTAATTAAAAAAAAGATTTACTGCAACAAGACAGGTAGACCCAGTGGAACTGTATGTAAGCATAAAACATCCAGGTTAGTACAGATGTACTACTATCACTGACTCAGAATAAACAATGCAAAATTACTAAACAAAAAAATCTCACTTGACAAGTCAAAGGATATATTGAAATCTCTGTGCATAGATGATAAAGGAAAAGGAGGTTTGATAAAATCAAAATTAGAAAAAAAGAAAAAAAGAAGTCCTCTAACATCTCATCGACTGTCAGTACTTTTGATGCCAAGAAAACACACAGCAAAAACATTTGGTCTACCAGATGAACTCTCATTCTTTGGTAAAAGCAAAGAACAGGATTATTTGTTGGTTATATGTAGCTTTTGAATATGGCTGACCAAATGCCATTTTGTCCTGTTTTTCTAGGTACAGGCTAAGTGGAAATAGGAGGAAGTGAACCTCAAGTTCTTCCTGGAGATTAAAACACGAAGAGGTTTTCAATAGCTGCTCCATGACCTTCAGAGTCCTCATCTGGGGAGAGCTACTGTTTGCTGCAATTCACTATTAAACCACCTAAGGATGATATGCTAGCAGTAAAGCAAAACCATCTCTCTCTACTTCCCTTTTACTTCAGAGGAATAGTGCCATCTCCCTGTCTAGCCAAAAATCATTCTGACAGACTTTACCAAGTAGCTGCATAGATCTAAGCTCAGGACTTTACATCAAAAAACCTGTCCCAAAAAATCTCTAACTTACAAAGCAATGTACTGCTCAGCATAATAAGTGTACACCTTTTTCAAGAATCACTTTCAATCAACAAGTCTAAATTGGTAACACCTGCCCCAGCATTTGTTGGGTTCCACAGGATAGGCTCCACCTAACTACGTACTTTTACTATTACACTAGCCTTTTCACCTTCCCTCTTCAGAACTGTAAAAATCACAGAGAACCAGTAAAGCAGGATATAAGCAACTGCATTTATTATTTGAAGATTGAATAATGTCTGCAGGTCTTGCCTGATGCAGAAGCATGTAGACAAGTGGGCACTCCCCCTTCTCTCTCCTGAAACTGACATTCCTCACATTTACCTGCCGAGTACAAAATAATCTCCCACTTAAGTATCTCTTTGGCATGTGCCAACCTGAAAGATTAAATAGGACATAACTGCTGGAATTTTTAATATATCATATTCCTTAATCCATATAAATGAAAAGAATATTGCCTTTTTTTTTTTCCCCCAATGCTTTAAAAAGAATGGGCCTTTCTAACCCCCTCTGAAGAGACACCATCAGAAATTGCCTTATTACTGCAAGGCTGCAATTCTAGCTGCTTTGCTTTTTCATACTGCTACATTCACTGCAATTAAGAAAAAAAAAATTTAATCATGGCAACATCAGCTGAAAACCTCCAGCAAGCTGCTTTGCTTTTTCATACTGCTACATTCACTGCAATTAAGAAAAAAAAAAATTTAATCATGGCAACATCAGCTGAAAACCTCCAGCAATACAATAAATGGTGAAGACTGGGCAGAACATGAACAGCAAAGAAGCTATTTTATAAAGAAAACAAGTATCAAACCTAAATAAGTCTTAGACCCTGAGGACAGAAAAGCAGCAAAAGTTACTAGACACAGGAAGTTCCACATATAGCAAAGCTACCTTTCACCTAAGTATCTTCAGTCTCTCACGTGAATCAATTTTAGAAGTCAATGAAACAATCATTAATACTGCAGATACGCTAGGTAGAAGAAATTCAAAACAATAGTTTGATTCACCAAAAAAACCAGATAATTAAGACTCCTAAGTACTCATAAAATTGATTTACCAAAAGTCCTAACTGCATCTGGAGTGCTCAAATAGAGCCTAAATGTCAAAATGTATCATATAAACACTTGCTGCAAGACCAGCTGCAATCCTACTGGGAAGTTGGCATCCGCTTTTCATCTCTGAAGAGTTGAAGCAGTATTTGCAGTATAATTTCTGTAAATTAGACTTTATCAACAATGTGCACTCCTTATCAACAGTGATTTTGCACTGTGACTGAATATCACTGTTCTAAAAATTTTTAACTGCCTACTTTAGCATTATACTGACAAATATCAAAAGAAGTTTCAAGAAATCCACTTCCTGTAAAATACTTACTGGATGGCATCCAAGATGAGGACAAAGAAGAAACCAGTGGCAGAAAAGAAAAAAATATCTTATGCTGACCCACAGTGATAGGAGAAGGCCGCATTTTTGGATGTACGCATCTCTATGTCCAAAAAAAGGACTAAAGACAGGATAAAGAGGGTACAGAAAGACAGACAGACACCAACAGTTACAGTGCAGCAAATATATCAGCTAAGACATGGCTATTAGTATTAAATATCACACAAAATTAGAAGCAGAGCAATTACTTCAGAAAACAATTACTTTAGAATTATTTTAGAGAACCGCCCTCTCCTCTATCCACACCTCAACAAGAAGTTTTCAACAAACCTTTGCTTAGACTGAGTTTGCTTTTGACCAGGAGGATGCTTCTTATCCACCTCAAATGGGCTATATGGTTTTGGAACACAGTAGTTCAGAACTGGAAAACTGGGTAACTGCAGATAAAACGGTCGGTAGCGGCTGTATTAGACAAAACAAGTGCATTAGAACCATCAGAAATGGAAAAAGGAATTTATAGCACAAATTACAATTGGGTCAAAAATCTTGAAAAAGTGTTTCTCTTTTACATATAACATACACAGAATGATAAATATCCCAGAATAAGTCACTCCTTCCTCCCTATAAACTTGATACTTTCTCAAAATAGATTTACCTTAAGCTTCCATAGCTGTCTTACACATTCCCTGGGGTATGGCTTTCATGCCTATTTATTGTTGGGGGGGGTTGGGTAACCAATAAAACTAAGAACAATTTGGATGATGGTGCATCTGTGTTCCTGAGAAGTAGCTATAGCAGTTCCTAACATCCAATGAATTTTTTTTTTCATTTTACCATTTTCTTCCTTTTTGACAAATTTTAATCAAGTCACCATTCAAAATACAAAACTGACCTTTTCGTTTTCCAGAAAGATAATTTTCCTGTACAGCACTGTACTTAGAAAGATACAGAACTAGCAACTGTACCATTGCTCTGAATATATTAAAAATCTTTAAAATAGGGCATGCCAGAAGTTCACACACTGAATCATTTGACTGAAATGCTGATGCCAGAGTTCAGTCTGATTTTTTTCCCCACATTACTATTATAAGCTACCCAGGCAGAAGAAAAAGAGCAAGTCTGCATAATAGGGACAGCTAAGCATCTTGCTCTGCTTCTGAACTGTTACTTATGTTGCATAAACATTTAAACATTAAAAAACATTGTTTACGTTACATAAACATTTAAAAGTGTTTCAGGTGTTTGGTACACGGCTACATTCAGAAGTCAAATTCTCACATATTTATATATGAATTTCTTGTACTTAGAACCGTTTGTCCAATTCTCTCCACTACCCTCATGTCCCTCATACCTATTACACCAACTTGGTGTAAGACCAGGTTTAGATCTCTTTTTTTAATTCAGGAAAGTACCAAAAAATGAGGTCAAAGAATTTGGAGCTTATAAAGATCATCACAAGGCAGAAGTTAGTTAAGAATATAAAGGTACAAAACATGCTGTGCAGAACTGCATTTTTTATAACTCATTGTTCTCTCAACTTCTGGCAAACCAGTATTTCCTTACACAACCAGGTCTGATCAATTACAGGACCAGAAAGATGTGAACATTTTAAAGGCTGAAAATATCAGATTTCATGCTACTGTGGATATTGAAATCAAATTAATAGCTTTTTTTTCCTTTTAAAAAGAAATGATTGAACAGGAAATTAAACCTAATTTCAAGGGATGATTTTAACTATAACAACTTCCCTTTCCTTACATCTAAACAGTCTCTGCAGGAGATGAATGTTATTGAGTTGGGACTACAGGACTGGAATTTAGTATACAAAGCCTTTCGGGCTATAGTATTTGCATCTAAGAAAAGATGTCAAGGTTCAAAGCTTCCAGGTTTCCTTTTCATTCATATGGCATTTGGCAGAAAGTAGCGCAAAGAACCCACTCTCATGGTCTACAAACTGGAGCTACATATTAACTTTCCACTTCCATTACCTACTGCAAATATTCCCTACTATACTACTACCTGCTCAATCTCATTCAGTGGCTAAACGCAGGTACCTACCCAGAACATACAGAGATGAAAATTTTGTATCTTATTATAAGAGGACAGTATGCCTGGCATCTAAAGTCAGGAAGCGGAAGGAAATGGAAATCTGAAGGCCACTTCCTCAAGGCACACTAAATGTTTCTGAATTACTAAGTTTGAGAACCACATTATTGAATGCATGAAGAGAACACTTACCGACTTCTATCTTCCACCTTGACAAATGGATTTTTCAGTCTACCTGCGAAAGGGGGACAAAAGGAAATTACGAGAGAAATACTTTTCTTCATTCAGCAAGTTACTCCAGTGGCTGAATAAATAAGCAGACATTATTTTAGATCTCATTATGTACGTTTTGACAAACTCTTGATTTCCATGAAGTTTTTCTACATGCTTTTCTTAGACATACAAATTAGAATACAGCACCACACTTGACCAGATGAGAACTGTAGTACATTTTTAAGCATTCAGAATGTAAGGCAAAACAAAAAACTCTACAAATATTGAAATACTTACTTCTTGACTTCGGAGCATTAACTTGTTTTCCCTATTGAAAATAAGACAGAAGGTATAAAATCCCGGTGAATATTATATTGCACTTTAATAAAGATTTAGCTGTAGGTAATTTTAAGTTGTGAAGGTCTCCCTGTATTAATCATGACTTCATACACAGTCACGATAAATTTTGCAGGAAACTAAGCTCATTAGTACTTCAGAAATATGGTGACATATTTCCCAAAGAAATATTTATTTCTACACCACAAAAAAGTGTTCTCCTTGAGAACGTTTCAATTTATTTTTCCTAAAACCAAAACCAAACAACAAACCCACACAGGTAAACCCATTCACTGACTCTCTCCCCTCCCCCAAAATACCTTGCCATGGTTGAAAGTTGATTCTTAAACACGGATAACATTTTTACAACACTTTATAAATGCTAATTAACTACAAGCTGTAAAATGCCACAAAGAACTGCAGATAGCAACATTCTCCAATTAAAATAATTTTTCTCGTTTGAATGCATTTACACAGGTTGGTGTTTTTTTTTTTTTTAAGCAATGAAGATTAAAATTAAAAGGAGTATTTTTGTCTTCAGAAAAGAGTAAAGTCTACATTCAAGCATCAGCTGTTAGCTGCAATTGATTCTAGTAAAGGTACAAACTTATATTTTATACTACTTGCAAAAAAACCCCAGCCTGCTATCCATGAACACCGATATACTGATGATTTAGCAGAGGATTTCATGTGGCCTCAATAATTAGCGAATATTGCATTCCAAAACAACGTAACATACACTACATGGTACGTTTCCATTTACTTATCACAGACCCCTGCCTGGACTAGATAACTGTACCACTTCATCTGTTTAATTTAAATTACAGAGCAACTGCAAATGGAGCACACAAGCAGCTAAAACGGTTTCAGTGTCTCACTATATTATACACTAAAATCTGGAGAAATCAGAATTTTCACATGCCAACTGCACATTATTGGCAGAATAGCTCAAAGATGCTTTATGCTAGTTCTTTACAAGACTAGGAAGGAAAAGATGCACAGTTGAGCAACAGACGCAGACTCCCTAGACACAGCTTCTTCAGGAAATGTAACTGTGATTCTTCAAAAGGGCCCATCAAAAGGAAAGGGTTTCTAATTACTGTGTCATAGGGAAAATTACACAAGGCAACTTAACCACAATCTACATCATACTAAAACCAACCTACGTTTTTTTTTAATTATTTATTATTTTTGAGGCAGGCAGAATGGAAATTTCAGACAGTTCAGTACTTCCGATTCTGAGATATCCTTTGCAAGAGCAAAGGTCTACACATTATTTAATCAATGCTACTATGGAATTTATTTTTTAATAATGCTGAAATGTATAGCTAATACCTTCTACTTTTCAAAAACCGTTTTTAAATCAGTTCATAAAACATACTGGTCTGTGAAAAACTGAACATGAGCAAGACTTCATTAAAATAAAATCTGTAAACTTCACAGTAGGTAGTATTTAGTACACCTGTGTTTTCTCAGTTAATGAAACAAATGGCATTTTTACAAACGGCAAAGAGCCACTTACCACATCTTTAAAAGAACTGCCTACTCTTTTGATTAGGTAGAGCTCCTTTTTCTTTTGTTCAATGTAATTCTTAACATCTGGCAAAAAGAGGCAGAATTATACTCAGCTGAGCTTATTTTTGTATGTTTTTGTCATTTTGTCATTTTGTCATACTAAAAATTTGTCATTTTTAGTATTTTGAATTCAAAAAAAGAATAATTAAATGAGTGTTACAAGTTCAAGTTAGACTTCATGAAACACAAATATTTACCATCAATATGAAGTATCTTCACTCCCCAACTCAAAGCATTGGATAGTATACTACCAGAGGGGATTAAGTCCTGCAAATGAGAAATTATATTAATAATTTTAAGCAATATATGGTAACTATGTAAAATAATTACAAACATATTACAACATGTAATATGAAAGCTGAGATCAAAGTGCAGATGCTTTGCTTCTTGCCAAAAGACCATCGCTCTCCTCAACGGACTCTTCCATCTCCATGTCACAGCACTTCACCATCAAAAGATTATATTTAACCTTTCGTAAAGCCAAAACTGTTCTCTGTCGTCACATTTTATGGTAAGATTTGAAGACAGTGAATTTATATATTTACTTTAACTTCACGAGCATCTCTCAAATGCTAGCTATATTAGCAATCCTGATAAATTATAATACTGGTCATAAGACTCCACAGACTTCCAATTCTTCAAGAAGTACCCAGAAAGCATGACCTGACAGTTTTACTTAGGACGATTCCTTGACTTCTGCCTGAGCGTTCCATGAGGGACTTATCTCTTACACCACTAAGACCACTCTTACTACTGCTTGTTTTCTAGAAGAGCAAAACCAAAGTTTCTTAAGCACAAATTCATTGATTACTTGGCTTACCTGCTCTTTGATTGCTTTTTCTACTAAGGATTTTCCTCTGCTCATACGTACCTATATTAAAACAGAAACACGTTTGTAGCAAATTAGAACTCATTTGAAAAAAACAAAAGGTAAGACAATTTACATTGTTGCTAACAAATATGTATTTTAGCTATGACAGTCTCCTGTTCACTGTACTGGTATTTTTCATTAATTCGCATCTTCCCCACAAGGTTACGGTTGATACAGTCTGGGGGAAGGAAGGGTGGGGAAAGAAAAAAAAACCAAGACAAGAAGTAATCGTTTTCAGCCAAAGCAGATCACTGCATGGCTGAAGCGATGTTAGTGCTGGAACAACAAAGATGGTGGGAATAAGCAGCCAGTGGCACATGCCAAACGATGAGGTTTCATCAGCTGGACTTGTGCCAAATTAAGCTAACTGTTATGAATATAATCACAGCCTCTGTCTTATCCCCACCTTTTCTATCACCAGTGCATCTCCTTTTGTACTGTATGCTGTTTATTCATAATAAGCATGCCTTTACCTATCCAGGTTATTTGCAAAATGAGGCGATCTCATCTATGCAATGCAAAGACCAGCCCAAGGACTGGCTTGCAGTCATGTTTCTAAATAAGTACCATGTATATAGTACAGCTATTTGTTTCCAACTGTATTTTGAAAGGATGCAAGACTTGCCTACGTAAGAAACCTCACATAAATCTGCACAAATTCAGATATTAACTGTTGCAATTAATAAGATCCTCTAAGAAAGAGCTCAGAAAAACTTAATATTCATAATGTTCAATTTTAAGTATTTCCTTGAACTACTATCAAAGAGTGCTTCTGTAGATATTTGCATTAACAACATCACAGCAGCCAGATATTAATAGGCTGTGTTGCTAAAGAGACAGGAACCATTGGATGCCATCGCAAGCCTATCCATATTGATCCAGCTGTCAAACATAACAATGTCAATGTTTAATTGTAAGTCAGGAATACTATATTAGAACAGATTTTAGTGTAGTCTGCTTACTTGCAGAAAAGGCTCCTTTTTTTTAATTAGTTTTTGAAATTTTGCTTAATTAGTTCAAGTTAGTTAAGTTTAACAAGTTAGCCTGAACTAGTCTAAAAGTATGTTTGACCTGCTAAAAAAAAAAAAAAATTAAAAAAACCCCCAATCTTATTCACCCAAGGAACTGTTGCCATCTTTAGGAAACAAAATAGGAGAAAAATTGTAAGAGCATATCCCATGGGTTGTACCTGATTTGCAGTATTATTACTAAGAAACTTACTGTATCTACTATCTTAAATGAACTTCCGTCATGTCGATCTTTTCGGTTGCTAGGATGAGGTGAACTATTTCCTCCATTACATGCAGATTCTGGGCTAGGAACAGGAGAAATCTGACCAAGAGTTGGTGCAAATTTTGCCTCCTTTTTATTAGACACCAGATAGCTGATATCTTTACTAAGAAAACTCTCCACTCTCTAAATATAAAGATATAAAGCAAGTAATTATTTCAGGACAATAAATCAGTAACTCAATTTTACATTGCATACTTTAAAGAAGAGTGACAGAACTTCCAGAAAAATTAAGTTCAAAAACATTGAATTAACAAGAAGGTATTTTCTAAAGATCTGGATGACAGTTACAATTGAACTGTAGTAGCATCTTACCAGTCACAAATTCTAATTTCACTTTCTTAATTTTGTAATCTCTATCAAAAGAACTTTGCTTTGTTTCGATTATTATCATTCTTTGAGCTATCTAGCTGTAATACTTTCAAATAGAAGAATTCAAACACTACACTGAAAAATAACAGAATAATTCAGGGAAAATCACAGTTTATATAATTTTATGTAACAGAAATTACACAGAAGTGTTCAGATAAACTTAAAGACATGTGTATGCAAATGTAATTTACAATTTGCAAGAAGCTATAAATTCACTGAGTTTAGAACCAGCAGAAAAATTAAAATTTCAGGATAGTTACCATGTTTCACACCTACAGTATTCATAGCACTTCTCAAAAATGTAGAAGACTTGAGTAGATTCATAGTATTTTCATACTCAGCAAGACAAAATCTGTGGTTATCCTATGCTCATTCTCTTCTATTTTGCTCCTCCAGTCTTTCGTTACCAACTGTTGTGTGATTATCAGCTCTATTTGTCTTGTTATTTCTTGCCAGTTTATGTAGCTTAAAATATTTTCCTCTTCTCCACTAATCAGTATGGAAAGCACAAATTGCCAGGCAGCAAGCTTGAAACTGTGCCTTCCAATTCTGCTCTATGTACCTTTTACAGAAATGGGACATACGGAGGGAGGCACTTTTGAGTGCACTCCACACAAGTAACAACAAAACACATGTGGTAGTTGATCTTGAGGGTGCTGGGCACCTCAGATTTAGGCATATACTCCTCAGAATAAAACAGAAAAACTTCCTTTTCAGTCTTTGATTTGCAATCTTACCTTTCACACATGAATCCCCAAAATTGTTTTAGAGAGAAAGACAAAAGATAGAATGCACTCATTTAATGCTAAATGTAAAGAGATGCATTTATCTTGAAACCATGTTATTGCTATTCCTTGCCTCTACTGTAATTTCAGACAGCATCTTGATTTACAAGTCAGTTTCTTAAAACTGCTCAGCGCTCCTCTGAGGTGAAAGAAGTATTGCCAAAGCAACGTTCAGAATAGCTAGCAATTTAAGCAGATCCCTTTGCTTCCGTGGTTAAAGGATGTTTAATACTTCAACTGCCAAAATTCCTCTACGCTAATTTAAAATATTCAACTTTAAAGTGGACTAAGCAATTACATTGCTTGTGTGTTACTATGATATGCTGTACTTGCTTGTATCAAAGTGTTTCTTCCATACAGAAGAGGGAATTAGGGGAAAAAAAAAAATTATTAAAATGCTTATAAAATTTATTATTTAAATACGAGTATTTAAAAATACTCATTAATACTCTGTGCTTAGTAACTTTTTTTTGAAAAGAAAAAATAAACATAGTTCAAAAAACTTTAGTAAGCATATGCAAAACACTTCCTCTAATCTCTTTCAGGTTCAGCTGAACAACTTTAGTTGTAACATGTAAATGTGTCAATATAGTCAGAAGCAGCAGAAAAAAATCACCTCAAATAATGAAACTTACTAATTTTGGATACAATTTTAAGCAAATGAATGATCAACTGAAAATAAACCTTTATAATAAACACTATTGTTACAATTAGCAAAGCAGCTTCTAGCAAAAAACACAAAATAATTTGCTGATAAGCTAGTTGTTCATAGTAAACATTAAGACAAACATAAAAAAATAAAATCCCATCACATATAAAATACAAATAACATTAAAATGCAGTCACAAAGAACATGGAAAAGGCATTCCACATGTGCAGATTTTCTTCCTAGTTTCACAAAGGTCTCTGCTCATTAACTTACCCCTCCTAGCTCTTTGAGGTCCTTTCCTATTTTTTCAGAAATCACATTTGATGGAATATCGAGGTAAAACACCTTCCCAGTGAGTGGCTTATATTTAAGTTTCTCTGGTTTTCCTGTATCTTTTTTCACATTCTTCAGAGAAGATCTTATCTCTGGTTTTGCTTGCATTCCATCTGCTGCAAAAAGAAAAGGGAATTTAAAGAGGACTGTGTTTTTTGAACTATGTTTATTTTTTCTTTTCAAAAAGGAAAATTCCTGAATTATGGAAATGGACGAGACAAGCTTCCATGTAATATAGGACTTTTAAAAAATAGCTGTATGTTAAACATGTCAAAATCAAGACATTAATAATAATACCACATATAGCCCTTAAAAGTTTCTTCTTCAAATCATATCCTGAAATGGACTTTTTATTTCAGTTGCTACACAATGCCATCAATTTTCTCACCCAGTTTGGCAAGTATTTGCTCTCTCTGTACCACAGTACATACACTACTTGCAGAGTCACTGAGAATCACAAGAACACCATTTTACAACAGAATCTCTCTCTCTTATTCATATAGACTCATTAGAACAAAAAACGGTCAAAAGTAACTGAAACACCAAAAAATACAAGACCTAGATCCTACTATTTATCTGATTTTGAGCACCCACATGAGATGCAGGAAAACTAAACTTAAAATTCACAACTATTCTAGTTATGACCACTCTTTGTGTCCCAGTGAATTTTACTCTAAAACTAAGAAAACACATACAGCAATTAAACTGTGCTGATGAACTCTCCTGATGCCCAACACAGAGCTATCCATGCAGGCCTAACTGTTAGACTAGACATTTATATAAGCAAATTAAAAAATTCAGTCTGGGTGAGAAATAAGCCTCATTTCTCAAGGGAAATCTTGGGAGTGTGGTAAGAGTTCTATGAAAACAGCAGCTCAATACTGAGTAGCAATCAGAAAAAAGAAAAAGATTAGAAATTGCTAAGAACTGCTAAGAAACAGAAAATAAAATGGATAATTTTATTACGCCACTTCATAAATGCAGGACTCGGCCACATCTTAAATACAGCCTGCAAAAGAGTAACAAGAATGATCAAAGGCATGAAGAATGACCTTGTAGACTAAGACTTTGTCAGTCTGTTAAGTAAATTATTTAGGGGAAAATGAATACAGATATACAAAATCAAGAACACAGAGAGAATGGCTAAACAGTGTATTCCAGTGGAAGAGCTATGAGGCACCAAACAAAACAAGGAGTCAGGTACAAAATGAAAAACAGGAATTGATTCTCTATGCAACAGGGCAATGCTGTGTAGCTTGCTGCCAAAGAATATTGTTAACACTAAGATGCGATTTCTAGGGGAGGCAGCACAAGTAGAAGGAAGCGGAATACTTTGAGAGGTCCTAAATGCATAGAAATGACACACAACTCATGAAGTCCCTGTAGCTAAACACAGCCGGAAACTACGATAATATTATTAGGTGAAAGTAATTATACCTTCTCTGTTCTTACGTACTTCCACAGGAATCCATTTACAACCAATGACAGAGACAGAATCATCCAGGATTGCACATCATTAGCTTTACATTGTCTTTTCTTCCTCAATGACTGACACCCTACTCCTAGTTGCTTCTCTTTTGGAGAAGCTCAAAACAGAGGATGAGGAAGGCTGCTGCCTGAAGCGAGCAGGCCTCTTCTGGAGACAAAAAGCCAACATGCAAAACAGTCCCTCTGTTACGTATTCTCTGCCTCCCTGAAATGGTCTTAGATGGGAGAGGGAGCAGAATCACCACTCACGCTGCAAGATTCTGTAAGTAATGGTTATGAACACACGTAAGTGAAGCAGGAACAGCAGTCAGCTTTGTAGAATCTAGGAGACGAAACTTATCAGAAAAACAGGAAAATGGGGAGGCTTAGGATAGTGTAACTGATTCAGAATCTAAACAAAAAACATGGATGACATGCAGGTGTGCAAGTGAAATTCTGTAATGACCAGGGATCAAATATGGTGTTATACCCAGCACACACATGTGATGGCCAGGGCAGCTCAAAAATTAACACACTGAATGTTGGAATTAATATTGGAAAATACATACTAAACTTCTTGGGGATAATCAAAAGTTTGGAGTGAGTTAGCAGGACTGCAATAACAGCAAAGAGTCTCTCTCGTAAAACGACTGTATTTTAATACCCTGGGAGGTATTAAAATGTGCTGAGGCCTTCCATGCATGCTCCTGATACCAGCCAAGATCTGCCTGGGTGGAGCAGTTTGCAAGCCAGTGGCCTAGCGAATTTCAGCACAGCTACTAGCTTCTTTGCACTACAAGCATCTTGTAAAACAGAACAAGTTAGCTAGCTACCTTTTCAGCTACACGTTTTTACGTTTAACTCCTCAAACCATGCAAAGGTTATTTCAGCTGCCCACCCCTACAAGGCCAGCCCAAAGCGTGCTTACCCGCTAGCCTGAGAGAGGCAAGGGCCCAAACCCAGCACCAGGCTGGCTCCGGGGGCTCACCATGAGAGCCAGGAAGGCGGCACGGGCACCAGGCCGCGGCTGAAAGCGACCCCGCTGACGGTGGGAAAGGCCTGAACCCCCCTACCCCGAGTTCGGAGCCGGAGCGCAGCAGCTCCCCCCCGGGCC